TGTTAGAATAGAAATAAGTATTTCCTACTTAGAATAGGAATATGAATAGGAATAGGAATAGGAATAGGAATAAGAATAAGAATAGGAATCCTAGTTGGAAAAGGATTCCAATGTAGTGTCTATAAATAGGGTCTCAATGTAACTATTTAGAAATACAATTCAATAATATTTTTTCCTATATATTTCTCACATAGTCAATAAACAAAAGGCTAAATTCCACTAGCTACACTGCTACAGTATTCAATGATGAAACTTTATCATTAGCATTGTTCTCTTGTCAGCCAAATTATCAGCATAATATAATACCATATAGAGTTGAGAACTTACTTTTTCTACACCACAGTTTCGGATGGAGTTCCCTACTTTTATGACAATGTCATACACTTCTTTGTAAGTCTTCCACACATACTTTCCAGGCTGAAGATAAGAGCAACAAATGCAAAAATCGGCTAATTTGAATCAGAAAACAGAATTCTTCTGGAAGTTGAAATTAATGCATACTACTTAAAGTAAAATATACCTTCCCATCCACAATCTTACGGTGGCCAAGCATTCGGTTGTTAGGATATTTCTCCACTGACAAACTATGACATAGACAAGAAAACATCTTTAAGTTCTATTATTAGAAAGTAAATTCTTATAAGCGTCATCATCAACTAAAAGCAACACTAACAAAGACGCTACATCATGCCAAGGCTAATGCAAGTTCAGTACAGTGACAAGATTTTGCATGAACTTATTATTCTGAAAAAAAAAGAGTATTATATAAATAAAGCTCAATTTCACTGAAGAAAGAGTAGAAGGCACGCCATAACTCTAAGCAGCCTCTCTGGAAACTACACAATTAGGAGTATCATAAGCAGAGTTCCGTTAAAGGGTTTTCTCGGGAACTGGCAAATAATAGCTGAGATTAACCGAGTAGTCATCGTGTGCATGTAAGGTTGCATAGATAGAATGACAATGACTTCATTGACACATGTTTTCTGGTAACATGAACTGAGTGATATTTCTGGTTCAAGAGTATTCAACACATGTATGTCCTATAATGTTTAAGGCAGTATGATGTCCTTGATGAGTCAAGTGCAACTACCCTCCACATTTGCCATTTAGTATTTGAAAGTAATTAACAGCCAAAGGGCGGAGATAGCTGCTTTTTACCTGAATTAAGGAGGTCTAAAGATTTTGCAATAAGGAAAAAAAAAGTCAAAATCAATTTGGGAACTACACATTACTCTTCAAATAAACAAAAAGACTACACCTTTATTGTAAAACTAAACCAACAAGTTCAGACATAGCATTCCCCTTGTCTCAGTTTATAAGACAATCTTTGATTTTAAGATGTCTGAAATGTTCGACACCATTCTGTTTCCATAACGCTTTTTTATTAACCTTTTCAAATCTTAAATCTTGGAGTGTAAAATTCTTCTATCAAATTAACTTTTCAACTATTACTGTAACATTTTACTTAAATATATATATATAGAAGTCAAAACAACAGCTTAGGCTCCATATGAGACAAAGGGAATAACCTTATCTTACAAAAATAATTAGTAAAAGGGAAGATTTTGCAATACCCATCACATATATAAAGTCAAAAGACTACACTTTTTCTCTTTGGGAACATCAGATCAATCAAATTACAAGGTGAGAGGTGAAAATCCACCTGGGGTAAGTTGACCCGAACACCGCAAGTTATTTCAAAAAGAAATAAATCCACATGCAATATAGTCAAAAAATTTGCAGGAACACAAAAATAATTCTTTTCCAAAAATGTATTTCCTCGATTAAATAAACCGGTTTTCACCTTCTAAAAATCTTACCGGAAAATATCCCAACAGCTGTCTAAGCCTTCAATCGGCGGTGGAAAACCGTCCTTCGCGAATAAACTCCGATAAACCGGTCCGACTGACGGCTTTCCATCTTTCGCTGGCTTCGCCGGCTCCATTTCGATTATGAATTTCTCCGCCATCTCCGATTCCTCTGTATTTCAAAAATCGCACAAATCGTCAATATAAATAATTTTTCACGTTCGATTTTCGCCAAATCGAGTGAAAAAAAAGTGCAATCTTCGCACAAATCGCCAATATTTTGTAGTTTTTCACGTTTAATTTCGCCAAATCGAGTGAAAAAATTAGTGCAATTTAGGTGAACAGATTAAATCTTAATACATACTTTGGTGAATTTTGTTAGTATATAATTCGAAGGATAATGTGAGATTTACAGCGAAAATGGGATTTTTGAGAACAGAATTACGAATCTTACGGAGAAATTTTCAGTGTTCTATGCGCAATATATAACTGTATAAGAGAAGAATATTCCTCCATGCAGGGCAAACTATTTTTACGTACCAAGCCCTTATATAAAAAGTCGAGTTCGGTGCACTAACCCTCCCACAATTTTTTAAGAAATTGGATGATAAGAGTCTATTATATATAATTTTATCTTTTTTTTTTTGCAAGACGCTTCTTTAAGGAATAAATCACAAAAAATTATTGTACGCAATTTTATACATTTTTACATGAGATTGTTTTTATAATTCAAACATGTTGCAAAAGGCTTCTTGAATGATCAGATCTTGTACGTAGTCTTATTTTATATTCCTACGTAAGGTTATTTTTATGCTTCAAACATTTGACCTTCATACCAAGCTTTTATATTTTTACAAAATTTCTCATATTACAATTATCTATTGTACGTAATCTTATTTTATATTTTTGCATAAGGCTTTTTTATAGTTCGAATAGGTGACCTAGCTCTTATATTTAAGGCACACTCATATCATATAACTAGTAAAATTACCCACGCTTCGCGCGAGAATTTAATGTCACAGAATTTCTAAAATAATACTTAAAACCTATCAGACATTAAAACTAAAACACTATATTATCTTACATACAAGATTACGTAGTAACAAACATTAATAATGTAAAGGAAAATGAAAATTATTATATCTTATAATTTATCCTTAATAACATAAGCATAAATTAATGATTGTAAAAATACATACCAGGATTTGTAACATAAGCAATAGTGTTAGTGAGCCACTCAATAGGATCAAGAAGAAGAAGAAGAAGTAGTAGTTCAGAATTTTCGTTATTTTAAAATGATAGGAAATCCCTTTATTTATAGACAACAAAGGGTAGTGTGAACAAATGTTTATTCTGCCTTATCAGAAAAGTTATAACTATTTGGAAAAGTTGCAATCCTTCGGAAATGTCATAATATTTCATAAAATTAGCAACTTTTCATAAAAGTTACAACTTCTCATAAAAGTCTCAACTTTTCATAAAAGTCGCAACTCTTCATTAAAGTAGCAACTTTTCATGAAAAAGGAAGGCCAATTTTGGAAATAAATAAATTAACAGGGAATTCTGATTTGTGGTGGCGCCACTTAGACGGGCCTAAGGTTCTCTTATATATATATATATATATACACTCTTATATGATAGGATTAGTTACGACTACAACTTTCTGAATATTAAAATCAAATACTTATACTTTTTATATTAGGATATTCTACATTACACCCGTTATAATGTATATTTGTAATAATAAATTAAGTACGTTAAACATAATTGTATTGCATAGATATTTAATGTTATTAACTCTATATTTAATTATCTATTTTAAACGTCCATGTTTCAATTTCAGTTACACTTTATGTATTTTACGTTTAGATGGTAATATCCCTAACAAAACATATAAATAATTATTTTTAATATACTTGGTTACGTATATACCTATAGGAGATGTAAATGTAAAATTTCTATAATTTAAAAGTACATGTATTTAATTTTAAAATGTAGCAGGTATATTCGAAACTGAGTCATATATAATGATATTTTATTTAATAAATCGTGTAATTTAAAAGCGGTCAAGAGTACTGTCAATTGTGGCCTAATGATCAATGAAGTGGATTGAAAACCGTGAGGTCTCAAGTTCAATTTTGATTTCATCGAAGGCAAAAATCACTAGGTGATTTCTTCTCATTTTCAAGTATTAGTATTAGTAGATAGAATTATTCAGTACATGTACTAACACGAATAACACGTATCCTGTGAAAATAATTGAAGAGCGCACAAACTGATCCAAATACCATGCTCATAAAGAAAACTTTATATTTTAAAATACAACTTACTTATACATCGAGAACTTGGAAAAATATAACATTGTTCTCCTTTCTCTTTGAGTTCCAATATGAAATTCTAACAAAAATCAACTCAAATCTTCGCCAAAATTTCTCAAAATTAGCATATAAACTTCAAACTGGGAAGTGCTAAATGGCCAGAGAATTTGACCAGAAAATTAAAAAAATTATAATATTTTTTTTATTTTAAAATAAACTGATCTTTTTTTCATTTTTTAGTTAAAAGATATCGAAGTTCAAAAGGTAAAAATGTTTAAAAAGGTAAAATAACATAGATAAAATATCATTCTGACCAAATTTTCTAGCCAAATTTTTTTCTCTCCAAATAATATCCTCAAGCATTTGCAATGACACTCGATCTAAATAAATAACAATATTGAATAGCAAAACAAACATCATAATTAAAGTAATAACGTGATACAACACAATAGGTAACAATCATCCAAACAAACCGTTAGTGAAAATTCTAACTCTGCGAATGCCGGTAGATATGCAAACTGCAAAGGAAGAAACTAAAAAATGGAATTGTTTATTACAGCAACTATGCATCTTGTGCTGCAGTATATATTCTGGTCATCATTACAAATTTTCTGTGAGTAAACAATATTTATAGAATGCCTATATTCATATTAAAATTGAAACAAAACAAAAAAAGAACACTATGTTTCTGATGGTATCTCTATGAATCTCTACATTCTCAAGAATCATGAACTTTATGGAAAAAATGAGCTTCTGCAACAATTATCTTGACTAATATAACTTTTAATTGCGTATACGCGCCATCAATAACCAATAACTAGCGATCTGCTTGACCAATTTTTCACCTTTAATCATGCGTGTTCATCGCCTCTTCTTGTTGTTCTTTCTTCTTTTTACCTGTTTCTCCAAGGTTGCGATCCTTTGACCAAGAACAGAGTGCGCTGATGATGACGATAAACCTTGACTTGTGGGTTCTGATGCCACAGCAGGCGATGATTGCATGTGCTGTTGTTCTGCTATCTGCTTATGCGCTGCAGCATATTTCTTGAGAGTTTCGAAAAATGGGAGTCCCGGCTTTTGTTCAGATTTAGGAGTGACAGGTATTATAGGAACGCCAAGAAACTTCTTAACCGCGGGTCTTTTAACCACTGACAAACAAGAAGACACAAGATTATAAGTGAAACATGTTTACCGGGAGATGAATGCTTCTGCAGGAAATGAACCAAAATATACTAACATAATCCATATGAGAGTGAAAATAGATTTGAGGTCATCCAATAGCAGAATACTGCCTGCAATGAAACAAGTGCATCCTTAACGTTAATGGTCTTGATTCATCAACATATCGATATGACAAATGAAACAATAAACCGAGCAAGAACTCAAATCAATTCCAAACACAAGTCACATAACATTTACAACGATTATGTGGCACATAAAGAATTATCAAACAAACATGACAGCTCGCACGCATAAAAAAAAACACATTCTAAAGAGAAGTGAAAAGAGCTAGCACGCACATGAAAGCACATACAGGGGACGAGACCTACATGAACTCAATACATACATCTAAATGGACTAGAACAAAATAAAAAGAAAACGAATAAACATATGGTTTTAAAGTTTTTCTTAGGGAACTACCTATCTGAAAGAAATACCAAATCTTAGATAGGCTTTTTCTTAAGATAACAACTCCAAGGATAAAATGATGTTTTCTTGATGAGACCGTGCCTATTGACAACCTCAAGTGAAGGCCATTGAGGCTCTCATAGCAACATCTGCATTTGGCTAATCACATCGACAATGTCATTCACGAAAATGCACCAGCACATCAGAATAACATCTATGCTTGAAGTTATGCAGAAAGAGGTGCTTTAACATCGTTGACAATCCAGTTGCATGCTCATAAGACTAGAACTGGATTTTATGATAAAGCATACCTGAGCACTGCAAGCAATTTCCCAAGGATAAATTTCACTAGGTCATGAAGACAGAAAATTGCGATGATAAAATAGATCATGGATGAGACTAAGAAAAAGTAACACCCTTGGCCATGTGGCATATATGAAATGGATGAAAATACGTCAGCAACAGGATAAAAGGAATAAGAGTTGGGATCACAATTTGTGACACCATACATAAACCAACTACAAACATGAGTGCTGCGACTAAATAGGCATGGATTGAGAAAGGTGAATTGTCTAGGTGTTCAATAATTAGTTTTCATGTTTGTAATGTGACTAATAATTATTGGGCACCCATGTCTGTAACTTGAATACACCATGAATAGTTATTGGGCACTCATGTTTGTAACTTGACTAATAATGTGGTAAAAAGAACCAAATGCATATTGTTAAGGCTCAGAAAAGAATCGCAGACCACCGAAGAAAAAGAATGGAGGGAAGAAAACTATTTTATTCATCTAGATTTCCTTCATCAAACAGTCCATTAATCTTCAGAAAAGGAATTGCATCGCCACCCAATTCAAATATCACATTTAATTAATCTAAAAGGCAAACAGCTGATGATAGATCCTCCACAAGGCTCTGTTAACTTTTTCATTACTAATTATATGCTGCCACTCTTTTCTTATGCATGGTAGTTATGGCAGAAATGTCCAGGGATATACTCAACAATCAAAAACAAAAGATAATGCATGTTCTCAATCAGGAAACCAGGAAAACAATAAAGAAGAAAATAACGGTTGGACACGGACACTATGAATTGAAAGCATATCTATGTACTTCTGATGTAAAGTTCTACCTCAGATTCCTCAAAACGTAGGCAAATAGGATTGATACATGATAAAACCATTATACATGAGTTGGTTTGGATTATTTACCTTGGGAAAACCAGCAGTAAATGGGATAGTCAATGCAGCAAAGGCCCGTGAGACATTTTTTATAGTTTTAGCTGAAGGATTTCCTTCCAGTCCTTCTTGAGCATTGCACTGAGAAAGAATAAACTTTGGTTAACAAAAATGTCCAGAAATTACATTGTGTGAAGATATCTCAATAAAGACAGCAGGATTTGTTAACGACTAGTAAAGAACTGAGCTTGATATCAACATTATCAAGCAAGTAACATAATTGAGGCACTACACCAGAGTCAGATTTAAAGATGATAGAAAGCAGGCATTGTGAACCTAGAATAAAAAGGAGACCAGTGCCAAAACACCAGGAAGCATCTAATCATTAGATTACACATGAGCTTAAAACATTATCTCCATTGATGCATGATTGCATTCAAGACGAACAAGCAATGTCCAGCCAAGTAGCATGATTTAACAAGAGAAACTAAGATCAATATGATGCAACAACATAAGTAATCAAGACTGTTAAGAGCTTGAGGTCAAAGGTCAAATTGCGCAGAATTTTAGTCTCTAAATTTACAATCGCTTCAATTAATCTCTATAGGAAAATTTACCCTAGTCGGTATTCCCCTGTTTAAATTATTAACCGAATCTCTACTCTCTCGTAAGAAAATAAAAATAAAAAGGGGAAGTTCTCTATACATCCTAAACTGTAAACAGCATCATCAAGCTTCTGCAATCATCCAGAATAATGCTCCATTAGAGAACAGGAAAAGGTATAGTCAATGAAGGCACCATAAAGTAATGCACTGAAAAGAAAAAAAGGACAACTCACCTCCACCGTTATCCAGAAAGTCAATGCCGTCAAAACTGGGAAGATGTACATACTATCTGTAACAGTTAAATCAGTAAACCATAATACTCCCCCCTGTTTGAAAGATGGGACTTTTTCCACCATGTTTGAAATCTGCATTTTAAGGTGATAAATGAAGTCTAAATGATGAAAATAGTTGGGAGGGAAATAGACAGCAGAGAGGGGATAATCTTACAGCCATAAAGAAACTGACAAAGATTGGCCCTTGTATTAAAATTCCTTTTAAGGGAGTGAAGGGTGTAACTCCATATCTGAAAGAATGTCATAGATTTCATAGGTCAATAATTATATGAAATAATCAACTTAAACCATCACTTCTATAGAAGTACTATCATCATCATTTATAAAATCATGGCAGGTGCTATAAAGAGCCAGTGGCGAACCCAGAAATTTCAAGTCACGGTTGCTCAACTGTCTTTAATGTAGAGTTGTATACTTCTTGAGATTGGGTGCTTTAACCCAGAATTTTATGTTATTACTCCCTCGGTCCCCAATTTATGTGAAAGTGTTTGACTGGGCACAAGGTTCAAGAAAGAAAGGAAGGTTTTTGAAATTTGTGGTCTAAAATAAGCCATAGATATTTGGGTAGCTATAAATCATCTCATTAAGGGTAAAATGGGGAATTAAAAATTAAATTATTACTAAATATAGAAAGGTGTCATTTATTTTGGGGACTGAGTAAAAAGAAAAGAGTGTCCCAAAAATTGGGACAGGGGGAGTACTTATTTCCTATATAAAAATCAAGTGTTTGGGTTTTATACAAACAAGCACCCAATAGAACATATAAGGAGGCAATAGAAACCAGGAAAGGCCAACTCCAGAAGTAGGGTAAATGTCTGAAGGATCATCAGCACTGAACTTCTAAGAAATAGGAAGTCCCTACATGATTAAAAAATGGAATGGATACCCAAAAAGCCCATTTATATCTTTAGAAGTGTTGATTGATGACCTGAATACCAGTCTCAATTAAATTTTTATTCATTTTTGTCAGTTCCTCTTTAGAGTCCTGTAGGTGCAAATTGCAATTATGATCCTTTAAGAGGAGAAATTAAGATGATCTACTCAAACTATTTGCATGTCGAATCTACATGTATCAGGACAACCATTTAGAAGTTCAACTGTAGTTGAATGCAAAACAAATGTTAGAATAAGAGGAAAAATGTACTCGGTAATTAAAAAGTTAACCACAAAAGTAAATTTGCATAGTCTTTACGGGAGAAAAGAAAAAAAGAGAATTTGTGGCTATGCCTCCATATGAGAAGCTAGTTATGTTTTATCAGCTACACCAGGTGCAACTGAAACAAGTCATACAATAGTCGCTGGATCATTAACTAAAAGTTGCTTACTCCTTCATAGCTGCCTGCATTCTTTGTTGACCTTCAGCCACAGCTGCTGGAGCCATACCCTAGTAAAAAGGTAAAAAGTTTAATAAGGCAATTCTGGCATGCTAGCTTATTAGAAGGAAAATGTCATGAGAGGTAGAAAACCAAATCAGTATGGACGCATTGATATATTGGCTAATTCAGAAAAATATACATCTATTTGTAGTTAGTAAATAAGAGATGATAATAACGAGGGTCTAGAGTCTAAGAATATTGTAAGAAAGCACAAAGGCGCAGCGCAATAATCAGTGAATTCTATTAAAATATCCAACTGGATGACATAAACTAATAGGTGTCTCATCGCTAAAAAGCATTACAATGAGGTCAAATAATATAAGACAAAGGCTGGCTCTACCAAAAGGGACCAAAGAAAAGAATCATATTAAAACCTACCCTATTTTGCATCTCTTCGTTAATTTCATCCAGTTTTGGCTTCAGAATCTGCAGAAAACATGCTTGTTAGTAAAATAAATTGATGGACAGTGAATTCCACCTGAAAAAAGTGAAACAGGATGAGTAGCCAAGAAAATCGAAATTAGAGAAGATAATAGACCATCATAAATTAATTGAAATAACTATAATTCTTTAAAGGAAGATTTGATTCAGATGAGCAAATAGTTGGTTAATTCAACATTTTAACAAAGTGAATAAAAGTTCACGAGAACTCTGACTAAGTGAATTTCAGATAGCAGGTCTCACATCAAATAAAGAGAAGGATTGTGATAAGTTGATGACCAATGTAAAATAGTCGAACTTTTTATCTACTGAGCTAAGAGAAGGGAACCCAATCATCTCTGTCTGTTTCAGATTACAGAGAAGCATAACCACCTTACTCCTCAGACTTTGCAAAGACACTTTTCATTATGCAAAACATGTGTATGCCGAATAAAACCAGTTTACCAAATAATTTGTGAAATGCCTCAAGTACCATCCCATATCCCTCCAATAAATGCTATAATAAAATGCTTTATATGACCATGAAGGTAATAATGCTTGTTTTATGCAACTTACAACTGGAAAACACATGTCATATGTTTGTATTTGCAGGTAGCAGTTCCTACTAATGAACTGCTAACACTAAAATATGAAGACATTTGAAGTTTGATTGAGGACTGCAAAGAATTCTGTTACAGCAACTAAAAATGGGTTTATTTCATAAACTATCTACAAGGCACTATGCTGTCTTCACTTTGTTTTTTGATAGGTTACAACTTACAACAGTATTTTTAATGCAGGGATACTATCATGTATCTCACTCAAAGTTCATAGGCTCGTAGCTAGGACTCCTATCCTACTTAAAAGCAATAATCTCAATACAGCTGCTTCACAATTATATTTAGGAGCACAAAAGATCAAGAACAACTAAAAAAGAATCTACAACAGAGTAAAAATGGAAGCCTTCATGTTAGGGTTTGCAAATGTCCTTACGCCCAATCAAGAAAGTTGGAAACCAATTGGACGCATCTTTTGTTGCGAACAATGTGAAGGTATATGAGGTGAGCAAAAAGCCTTTCCCCGGATCCTGGTATTAACTCAAAAAGAGCATTTATCCATCACCTACTTCATTTGCTGAGCTTTCTCTTTTTCTAAGACAACGCCTTTGCCACCGGCCCACCACTCAACTTAAATTTCTGACTTCACTTTCCACTTTCTTTCCTGAAACTTTAAGATAAACCAGTGTCCTAAATGGGCCTTAAGATCCTATTCGACGGTCACAAGTGCATTAAAATGGTTACCAGAAACTGCCTTAATAAGTTAATAAATAAACAAAGAGACACGTAAAAAATAGATTTGGAAAGGCTCCTCGAGCTTCTGAAATGCCTTACAATCCTTGCAGGTTTGGAAAGAGTTGACAGGAGTGCTTAAGCAAGACAAAGGTTAAGATGCATTACAGAGAAACTTACCGCAAATTTTGTAGTAGCCTTGAGCTGATTAATCATCAATGGAAGAGTTATACACCGAATAACAATAGTTGTAGCGATAATTGATGCCCACCTAGAGAAAATTCAAATTTCCAAAACAAAGTGGTCAGTCATTTTGTCACAACATATAGCACAAGTTGATTTCAACTTGTCAATGTTATATTACAACCAAGACAGAAACAAACTGTGTATGTTAAGGTTTCCCAAGGCATTTCAGATGAAATATTTCTTCCATCCGTTGAAATTCTGAGAAAAACTCTCATAAACCAAAATTAAAAGCACCCTAAAGTTATAACAAGAAAAGAGAGAGCTTCAACATAAGTAAATAGATTCATAAACCTTTTTCTTTACGACGGGAAAGACTTCAGGAACATGTTTCCTTTCCCTCATTAATCCAAAAAAATGGGAATGAGTTGTTTATGGATCAAGGGTGTGTTCGGTATGGAGAAAATATTTTCCATGATTAGTGGGTATCAAAATTTTCAAAAAACACCTTGTCTAAACAAGTTACTTTAGAGTGAGGAAAATGACTTCACGGGTGAAAGCAGGAAAAACAAATTCCATGAGTGGCATCTCATTCTTCCCCCTATCCTCCAACACACCCAATCCCACCCCAACCCCCCAGAGCCCCCACCTCACACTTCTACCCCCTACCCTCACCTTTATAGCATTTGCCTAAATTTTATATAAATACTTTTGGGACAATATTTTGTACTTACTTACCAAATACCAAAAAATAAGTAAGAAAACAACTTATTTTCCAAGAAAACGTTTTCTTTCATACCAAATACACCCCAAACTATCCCTCAAATTTATTGAACCAGGAATAACTATACCACTCTCTTTCCTCTACAGTACTACGTCAATTGAAAGAAGCAATATCGTGCAAAACATACCAATCAAACCCAGTAAAAATATGAACATAATCGATCAAATACTGCAATGCCTTCACCGGCAAATACGAGTCCGCAGTAGCAATTGCCACCTCATTCACTGCTGGAACTTGAGAAGCTACTGCTTCAACAGCCTTATCAGCCAGCTCAGCGACTTCACTGATGTACTCTATCTTCTCTGCTCCTCCACCAACACTACTAGACATACTCCTGCTAAACATAGGCCCCGAATTCATCGGAATCATGAGGTGTGAAGGGAAAAATCTCCGATTTTGAAATGGGTTTTTAGAGCCATTAAAACTGTTTATTTCACTTCTGGCATAATGGGGTTGGAAAAAACTGGAAATTCTTGGATTTTCACAACTGGGTAAGTCGTGGGTTTTACGATCATCATCATGGGTGTAACAAATTGCTGGAGCAGCTCCTTTTTGCTGATAAAGAAACTTAGCTCTTGTTGTTAAGCTTCGCCGATAAGCCATTTGATTTGCTTCCTTCAAAATATGAACTTCTTTAGCTGAAAAATTAGTAATTCAAACACCAAAGACTACAACAACAACAGCATACCCAGTACAATCAGTGGTAGAGACAAGATTTTTACTCAAGGCATTTAAAATATGAAGAAGTAAACACACAAAAAAAGTCAAAGGGGTTTCAATATCTACTAGATATACATAAAAAAATCATTTCAACCATGTACAAACAGTAAAAAAAACAAATTGCAGAAATGGGTTTGAATGAACACCTTGACCCGCCCCCGAGTATAATCCCACTGCTACACAGACCTTACCCCTACTTTACGAAGGTAAAATGGTTGTTTCCGATAGATTCTTGGCTCAAGAAAGACTAAACCTTTATAAACATTATACAATTATGAGGCACAGAAAAATACAAAATGATTAAAGAATACCAAAATAACACTATCTGAATCCAGTTATACTCAAATTATTAATTCAAACACCAAAGACTACCTACAACAACAACATACCCATTATAATCTCACAAGTGATGTTTGGAAGGGTAGTGGAGCATGTACGCAGTCTTATGATACACAATTAAGGAGTTAGAGATAGATTTAGCCTTCCGGAAAGTAGTTAATTCTGCTAGTCAGCTACAGTGAAAGCAGTTAGGCAATTATAACTGATTTATAGTAGATTAGTGAATCAATAGCTGTACATTTCAGTCATTCAATTACTTTATAGCTTGTAATCAACTCATTGTACAATCATAAATGAAAATACAAAATTCTTCTCTGTTCCTAAACTCTTTCTTCTCTCTTAATTCTTCTTCTTCAACTGTCTTCTCGAGGTTACTCCTGAAACAGTAATTCGATCCTTGAATTCATTGAGAATTCCTGCAATCGAGTAACATCTTACCCCTACCTTACGAAGGTAAAGGGGATGTTTCCGATATACCCTCGGCTCAAGAAAGACTAAACCTTTATAATCCACACACAGAAAAATACAAAATGATTGAAGCATACCAAAATAACACTATATGCTCAAATTAGTAATTCGAACACCAAAGACTACTATTACAACAACATACTACAATAACAAACTAGTATAATCTCACAAGTGGAGTCTAGAGAAGGTAGTGTGTACACAGCCTAACCCCTACCTCACAAAGGTAAAAGAGATTGTTTTCAATAGACCCTCGGCTCAAAAAAGACTAAACCTTTACAATCATTCAGCAATTATGAGGCATAAAAAATACAAAATAATTGAAGAACATCAAAGTAATACTATTCAGATTCAGTTTAAACTCAAATTCAAGATCCCCATTTGAGGGAAAATAAAAATAATTGAACTTGTGATTCCATTGATTGAAATTGGTGATGGCTACAAATATAATAATAATACAATAGAAGAAGAGTACTAAAGATTGAGGACTTACAGTTAAATGTTATGGTTGGAGTTGGATCCAACAAGCAACTGAAACAGGGGAAGAGGGTTTTTAGGCGTGGGGTTTTAAGGTTTATGGCTATTCATTTCAAAAAGAGAAAATGACAAAAATGGTCCCTTAAGTTTCAGGTAGGTTCAAAAAAAGTTATTTTTAAGTATTGACTAAACATTTTTGGTTCTTTGAGTTTGTCAAAAGTTAATATTTTTAGTTTCCGATAAATATTTACGGAACTTCATATGTTAGGTTGATGTTGATAGTATAAAAAGATATTCATCATAGACATCAAAAAAGTCTTATTAAATCCTAAAAAATATGTAAATTGAGGAGAAAACTCTTAAATGAAGTTAAAAAAATTTAAGGTTAAAGTGGTTTTACAGTATGACACGTCTCATTCCAGATTAGCCAAATACTTATGTTGGATGGATTAGCGTCCACTTCCTCTTTGAATGTGTTTTCAATAACATGATATTTCTTCTGTGTCAAGTGGCCCAAAATCATTTCTTCTTTTTACGATCTGTTAATCTATATAAATCGAAAACACAAATATTTAAATCATAGAATCAAACCGTCTAAACATCTATATATTTAGACATTGTGATAACAACAGATCTATGTTCAAGTAATATGATACTTCTCACCTTTCAATCTTAACTCCGCCTCAATTTGTCTCTATATAACTATACACGTGTGTATATATATATATATATTCGTTTTTGCTACACACGTTTAACACCCTTATCAATAATAATAATGACAATATAACTAATAATAATAAGCAAAACTTGGATGGCGGTAGTAATGCAATTTCTAGCTTAGCTAATGGGAAAAGAATATTTTTTCCAAGAATGATGAAGTACCAAGTGGGAAAATAAATAAATGTTCTTACTAGTAAATAGTAATTCAATTATAGCTAGCTATTGGAAAAGAATATTCAACAAATTATTTATATATTATAAATATTTAATACTTTAGTGAGACAAAAATGTGACAAGTTGGACTAGCAATATAATATATATTAGTAGTCTCTTTCCATGAAACTTAGTACCGACATATTTGACACATAAAAAGGTAAGCTATTTATCACATAATGCTTTTAAATATTTTAAATTATTAATTATTATCATATATTTACACTTCTTTTTATCTAATTTTAAATATTTAAATTTGATTAGACAATTTCAAAATTGCTTTAAAAACCCCAAAAATCATCAAATATTTTCAAGTATCAATTTGGATAGGGAAAAAGGACAAATATACCCCGAACTATCGTAAATGATATGCAAATATCCTTCGTCATACTTTTGGGACATTGGTGCCCCTGTCGTCCAAAAACTATAGCATAGATATCATTTATACTAACGGACATACACGTGTCATAATCTTATCCACCGATCCGACATTTAGTCTTCCGTTAGAGTGAAGGGCATATATGCTCTAGATTTTAGACGGCAGGGGCACCAATGTCCCAAAAGTATGACGGAGGGTATCTGCATACCATATACAATAGTTCGAGGGTATAGTTGTCCTTTTTCCCATTTGGATATAAAAGTTAATAGGTTCAATTGTCGAAAATAAGAGCTCCTCTAGGCCAATCTTTCTCTCTTCTTATAGACTAATTCATGTTACAAATAATATCACATAAATTAAAACAAAACGAAAAATTATATATAATATATCACCTTATATTATATATTATAGTATTAAATAAAAATATAACTTAGGCTAGTGTTTGAATGGCATGAAGGTAGTGCAACACGGTACGTACTATGCTCTTTAGCATGACCTGGAAGGACGCGTGGCAGTTGGCAACAACGAGTTCAATATTTTATGTATTGACGAAAATAAAAAAAGGACACTTATTTTCCGTTCACGTTAGGTTCAGGAAAGGATCACACTTTATATAAATAAATTTTAAGAAAATTTAAATTATATACATCAGCAATAATATGAAAAATTATATCATCAATATAAATATGAAGTTTATTTACTCTTCGATATCTAATTTGAGACTTAATTAATATGCATTCCTATTAAAAAATATCTTCGTTAGAAATGGAGGATGAAGGTAAATGGTTATGTAGAAATTACGTGTACAACAAAATTTCATTATTTAATTTTTTTTTAATAAATTGTGAAATATTATCGTACCATAAAAGAAACTCAAATATACCTAAGAAATATCTATGGAGTTAAGTCTAATGAGCCTCGAGTAAATGTCTACTATTATTTTAATTTAAAACATTGTATTTATTTATTTACAGTTGACATGTATAACTAAATTAAGAATATATAAACGTTAAATTTTAAGTTCATGAGTTCACTATAATCTTAATATATAAATAAAACATCTATTATCGAAGACGACTTTATTCTTAGAAATTCTATCACATAGTATTATTTTACTCCATATGTGCTTTATTCTCTCTATAAAAAGTCTAATCAACCATTAACACATGCATATACTACACACTTCACAACTCTCTCTCTCTCACACACACACACACTTCTTTCTCTCTCTAAATTATTGTTTTTTGGCTGATTTTTTCTTTGCTTCACAAAATCTTCAACTTTCTCAGCTCATAAGAAAGAAAAAAAATAGTAATAATGGGGAATTGCATGGAAACATGTTTATTACAAAGAGAAGAAGAATTAGAGGATCAAATTGTTCATGAACAAGAAATGGAGGGTGAAACTGTCAAAGCAAAAGAAAATGTGGTGGAGAAAAATAATATTATGAGAATAAAGATGGTTTTGAGTAAAGAAGAATTGGAGAGTTTATTGGTTCAATTGAAACTTAATGAAGGGAAATGTTTAGAGGAATTATTGGGAGAAATTGAAATGGAAAGAAGAAGAAAAGAAAATAATAGAAGTGATTATAAGTGGAAACCATCTTTAGAAAGTATTATAGAGAGCCCAGAAATTCAAGAGATGATGGATAGATCATGAGATTCATTTTTTAAAAAATGGAAGCTCGATGCACAAAGTATCTCGTGTTAGTAATGAACGTATTTCAAGAGATGTGATTTAAACAGTCTACGATCTAATACATACATTATAAGTTATTTTCATGACTTAAATTTGTAACCTATAAATCACGAGAGATAATTTTATTATTGCTCTAAAGCTTCCTAAATAGATGATGAGATTCCAAAAAAAAGAAAATGCATACATTTTTGTCTAGTTTTCTTTTCCTTATTTGTTCAATTTTTTTTCTACTGTAATACTATATATATTGAGTTTCCCATTAGTTAGTATTTTGTTATGTAGGTTTTGAGTTTTGTGTTGGTAATTTTTCTCGATTTATTAAACTTTGTTTGGATGGTTGTTATCCGTGGTTTATTTTGTTTTGTTAGTTTAATATAATAATTGTTTTGATAGTTACTTAAATTTTATTGTATCTTATTGTTTAGATTCATTGTTAGATAACGATAAAGAGTCTCATTTGTGTAACATCAATGCTAAATGCTTGAAGAATTAAATGTTCCATTTTTTAAAGACAGAAAGTTGTTAGAATATCATTAATAGTCTTAAGGTGCCTGTCCACCTATCAAATTCTTTCAAATGTAATCGTATTTAACTTTGATTAGTAATCATTGAAAAAGAGAAAAAGAATAGGGTGGTAATGTATAGAAAATGGAGCAAACAGAGAAACAAATTGAATCAATTTATATATTTAAAATAATCATTCAATCATTTAGAATCACCAACCCTTTATTTTATTTGAGTTCATATATTTTTAAATAATCATTTTAATCAATAGTGAAGTTTTGTTTAACTTCAAGTATCAAAATCTCGCACTTTAAATAATTAAAGGTTAAATGTGCATAGTTAAATAACACAAGGACTAAAACTAGCACATGCAATAATACATGAACTAAAACACCTATTTCCCCTATATTTTATTTACCTTTTTCATATTAGCTCTAACTCGTACCATTTTCTTGTAGATTTATTATTCAAAGTTGACCTGTAATATTATATAACGACAAAGAATATTATAAAATGAATACACTACGAATGCAATACAATACATTATGAAACAATACGTAACAACCAAACTGAGTGTAAATATTTGATATTCGATATATCTTGATAATTTTTCAAATACTTTTATTACAATTTAAATAGTGGCTATTTTCTTAATAACTTTGAGGAATAGGTTATATTTTAAAGAATTCCTAATACTTTTCCGGCTTTAGAAATTCGTTTGGCTACAGACTTTTTTTTCTCTTACAATCGAAGAAGAAAGCAATGGGTGGAGCGCAGGCAATGAAGAGAATTCCACGAATCAAGTTTCCACAGAGGCATTCAAAGCATTCTGGTATGCCCCCATCTACTTTTCAGCTTTTGGGGTTCTGTAATTTTTATCTGAATTTATCAATATGTTGATGAATTCTTGGTTTGGTTGATTTTTTTTTTTTTGCTAATTTGGTTTTGGCTTGTGTTTTAGAGTTAAATGGTAGAGAAGATTCGTTTAGTTGACCCCAATTAGTTTGTAATTGAAGCAAAGTTGATTGATTGATACCTTTTTGGTTAGTTATAGTTATGACTTATGTTCAGTTTCAATCAAATGATAAAACTGTGAAAAAATAGCTGGCGAAGAAGAGAGCTGGGAGTGGGGTTAAGGATCAATTGTTTTTGCTTTGAGTGATGAGTAACTTGATAATTTGATCTTCCGAAAGGGTTCATAGAAATTTTTAATTTAGAGTTTGTGGTTGGTTTAGAAAGTTTCATTTGTGGATCTAGGACATTTAGCTAGGAGCAATTCCTCAGCAAGTTTATTCCTTTGTGAATTTATACCCCGTTATAGTAGATTACATTTAAAAAGTCATTATTGAACAGAAAAATGCTAAAATTTTGTTACTAGTAATAAAAACTAATTTACAAGTAGTTTAACAAAAAGGAATCATCTTTATTTCCTGCTTTATTCTTTTCTTTTGAAAAATTCTCCATATTTCAGTTTTAGACTAGAATGGTATAGATGATTCATGTAGCCAATAGCCCAATACCAAGTAGTTTGGGGTTGAAGTAAAGTTGATTGAGTGATTGCTTTTTGTTAACTTTTTCTTGTGATCAGTTTT